CGACAAAGTAGGGTAGTGATACGAGCACGAACATCGGCTAGATGAGTTCTTCTGAAGCAAAATAATTTTGAAAGAGTAATTACTCAGAAGACAATACGTCAAGAAAACCTACTTGCAGATCATTGCCAAAATGGAGGCGGCGAATTCTCGCAAACGGAAATGTTGCCTGTCTTCTGGATCAGGGCACAACTCTCGACATACCACACAAGAACAAAGGGCCGGAATGATATCATGTAACTAAATAAAATAAGCTGACAAAGACTATAATAATACTAATCCCATTGGACAATCTGACAGTCTTCAACCCGTTTATCTGTCGAGACCTTCCTAATGCCAGTGATAATTTATTTGTTTTTATTTATTTAATGTCTATATCTAATCTACAATGTTAGTTTGCCTATTTAAAGGGTTTCGCGATAATGCGATAAGCGAAAGGTACAATCAAAAACAGAACCCTTAGACAAGGTATAACAACAGAAAAGGAATAATAACTGTAAATCCTCCCATATGTTAACGGTACTCTTTAACCTGCTGTTGATTGCTTTCCGCATTACCCTTTTGCTCATTTTGCCACTCACTTTTGCCTACGACTTTTTCCTGGGTGTGGTGCAGTAGGATCGAAATTGTCGCGACGCAGCGAGAGAGGCGCCGAGGCAAGGGACTGTAGCAAAATGCACCAGCAAAGAAGGAATACAGGATCAAAAGAATCAACATTGGAGCATGCCAAAAATAATAAACCATAACGATTGAGTTGTGGAAGAAGACTAGAACTGTAATTAGGAGGTGAATGGTCCGCGACTACCGCGCGCGTCGAATCGATTACATAAAATCGATTCTACTGCCCATCTCCCCTTTCCTATCAATAGTGGATGAGTACCACGATGTCCCTATGAATAGCTTCAGAAGCAGTATATGGTCTATTGGTGGACTCACAAGGACTGATCGCCTTGGCTCGGTGATTCTAATGAGTGTGAAAATACGATTCAAAAATAGCTCCCTCAAACTCACTCCTAGCACAATATTTGACGATGTAATGTAAATTGGAAAAAGCCTTACTCACACATTTATCCAGATTTACTTGAACGTTGTCGATTAACGTCTTCAGAAGCCTCAGTATATTTCTTAGAACGGGGAGGTTCTGCTCCGCTATATTACAACGAACACCTGAAATCAAAACAATTGTGATGAGTAGACTCTAAATCGCACGTAATAAGTGGCATCCCTGCTAGATTGGACATTCTTTTTGAGATGACAGTCTAGCTATTCCGATGTCACTACATCAGAGTAAACAACCGACAGAAGTAGCAGAGAAAAAGAGAAGAGGTTTTAAAAAGCAGCACTTTTGATAGCCCACCTTCAAATATCAACACTGCAAAACGTGGCACCAATGACTGTAGTCCGGGATCTGACGCCAGAAGATGTAGAACCTCCTATAAAGAAAAAAGAAAGTTCACCTCTCGCACCTCACAGGCGCTGTATACGAAAGAAAAAAGAGATTGCAATAATAAAATCGAACCCTTCTCTTTTCCGGGCTGGAGCCAATAACAGTTTCTACACACTTCCTGAAGAAGACTTGTTGGTCCTAAATTTCGAGTAATTAGAAACCATGGAGGTTTCCGAATCTATGAAGTTACTAGCAGTGAGGAACTGGATACAACCTAAACGCATAACGAACTCACCAAGGACAATGAATGGGTAGTAATAGGTCGCGACAGTGTCTGCTCAAGCTTGTTCCCTGTTCTCGGCCCACGATTTCCATCCTCCTAGACAAGAAAATACACTAGGTGTGTGAGAAATCAAAGGCTATCAAGTTTATGTTACAAAAATAAATGGTCACAATTAAGAGCACACCTAGTCCAGTGACAAATTGGAAAAAGAAGGAACTGAGCCGACTGAATGCGTATCGAGTAGATAAGTTTGAAATCAAAAGAAAGAGCTAGCCAACACTGATTGAAACAGTAGTGATTATACTGCTAGCAAATTGCCGCAACTACTTGTTTCTACTTTCATGTAGACATTTGAAAGGTTCGAGTTCAAAACATTAAGTACATATTTACCAAATTCTTAAAAAGACATAAGATGTAAGCCAAAAACTCTAAACCTAATGCCCACCAGAGGCAAACAATATAGAGGGGAAAAGCATTCACGATCGACCCTCTTTATCAGAAATAAATATTTATTGAAAGAGCCGCAGCATTGTAGGGATACAAACAGATTTAAAAGGTCCAACACTTCACTACTGCTAGACAGCAAGACTCACCATGAGCGACTCGTTCGAAGAAGATTGAAAAGTGTTAATGCCCTCTTGTCCGGAGCTCGTGTTAGAAGGAGCAATCACAGGATTTTCTGGGACTCGTGGCTGTTCTCCTTCAATTACGAGCCAGTGTTCTGCAACAGACAGAGGCTGAGCCGAAATGAATCTGAAGCGGAGGAGAGCGGGAGGAGAGTAGAGCAGATCCTCAACTTACTCCGTATGCGACGCTTGTATGGCATTCGCCGTGGCGTTACATTCATTATCGCTCTAAGATCCACCATGAAGTAGTCATTTGGATAAAGAGTCTTGTTAAGAGAGTCGCAGAGATGAAACTGTGTATTGGATGCAGCACGAGACGACGTGCAAGGACTCTAGAATGAGCATTCCTATTCGAGTTTAACCCTTACAAAATTACCAAGATGTAAAAAAAGTCATTTCTGCCGAGTTAGCAATTGTGCAGTGTGCTTACCAAAACTCCGCGGATGTCGATGCTGTTCTCAATATCGCGAGCTTCTAGCTTAATCCTTTTGCCTTGGGCTACCAGTTGCAAAGCGGTAGTGAGCACATCACGAACAACTTGGTTTACATTTGACATTATATAGTCGACAGCTGAAACGAGTCCCGATCAAAAATGTTAGTGGCCACATTAGTGTAAATCTCACAAAACTCTCAGGAGTGCTAGAAAAAATGCGAAAGACATAGGAGCTGCTCCCCAACCAATAAGGTAGTTTCGTTAATGTAAATAAAACTGTGAAGGTAAATTCGTTAATGCAAATAAAACTGTGAGTTAAAATAGCAGAGGTACCTATCGCTTTATACTAAATCCCTAGATAATGAAAAGTAAGGTACCTGCTTCAGTAATGACATCTGGTCGAAGCCCCAGTTGCCGAATAACCGAAAGGGCGTAGGCACGATTCCAAGCCGAGTGATCAACACCCGTTTTGTATTTACCTTGATGATAGTAAACTCAAGACATGTTCGTATAAACAGCATAGGTATAGAATTTCATCCAATTTGATGGCGCGTACTCACTATGAGTGAATATCGATATTTTGGAGTCTTCTGGGACAGATTTCTTTTCAGCCTGTGCCATTAGAATTGATGGAAGAAGTCGCCTAAATGAATGAGATGATGCAGCAAAACCAAGTAACATAGTAACATGCTCAACAAAATAAAACGTACTATTTAACTCATGCAGAAATGATAATAAGTAACAGCAGTGGCACAGAAGAAACGGGTAGTGACGAAGCAGAATGTAGAAGAAACCCTGGAAAGATTCTTTTAGAGCGTTGAAATAATTGTGCAGGTTTGCTCGCGCTTTACAACTGCCGTAAGGCAGTTCATTAAAAGGTCGACCGGAAGCTACTTCTTATTCGAAGAATAAGTCAAATTAACATTATCCAAATGCAGAAATGTTCGTGCTGTTTTGCTGTTCCAAGCTTGTATCCTATCAAACTAAGCGATCGTTTAGGGGTTCTTAACTCATAATTAAATCCCTAAGAAAATTAAATGAGAACAAAAAAAAAGCCAAACAAGAACTAGATTATTAAAACCGTTAAAATGAAAACTGCAAATGAGTAAAAAAACCCAGTTTTCCTTCGTTGAGCTTTTTCAATGAGTCTTTTTGATCACGCCTTTGATTTCTCATGTGTTCACGACTTTAATGCCAAGAGAAAACAATTTACGTCTAACTACGTCGATTTTTCCACCATTTTCAAAGTCATCACACCAAACCTGCGCTATTGAAAGAACTATTCAGAATCCTGAGACGAACTAATGCAGCCAAACTTTGAGAAACACATTCACTGGATTTGAGTTTACTGAAAATTTGTTGAGCAGAGGGAAAAAGCGGAAGTCCACTCCCGATGTAAAAGATATAGCGCAAAAGAATTACAAAATGTAATATCGAGATAACCAACCTTCGAAAATATAGCTAAGTAAAGGATACTCCTGCAACTAAAGGAGGAAACGTATCGTAGAATACCAAGTAAGAAATTTGAAGAGGAAATTTAAACAATCTCCGACGATTATTAGCAAACTTTTGTTGCAATTACACAGCATACACACAGTTTGACAGTTTTCTCGCGCCTAATTTATTTACCGTAAACGCTATTTAGCAGAGAGCATCCACTCTGGTTAGTGACCTTAACTTCTATGTTTTGTTACCAGCATAACCGAGTTTTTGATAAACTCTTGAATGACCTTTCGAGATTACCGATGATCATCCAAAAGCGTGATTATGGTCAAAATGAGCTGTGAGGTAGGAGTGAACCCGACCATTTCAAAGGCAACGGATCGTACGGATGATTGCGTGATAGCTCCTTTAATTTTCTTTTTTCAGCTTGCTTTGAACGTTTCGTTTTTCAAGAGCGACCCGACACCGTTGAACACAACAACAAGCGTTTAGGGCCAGTTGATACGTGAGGGATGTGTTCCTTCATGACGTGGTCTCAGCTCAAAGAGTCGGCCGTCGGGGGAGACGGGCAGTAGGAACGGTTTTGTGTAGTCGTTCCGCCGCACGCGGCTGTCGCGGACCATACGCCTCCTTGTAACAATTCTGGCGTTTTTCTTACAGCTCAATCTATTTTATAGGCATATATATTTTATTTTAGGCATGATCCTACTGTTAGTTATTTTATTCCTGTATTTCTTACCTGCTGCTGCATTTTGCTACACTCCTTCGCGCGCGGCGCCCCTCTCGCCGCAACGCGACATTTTCGTTCCTACTGCACCACACTCGGCCGTCAGCGCGTAAGTATGGTAACTCCTGCAATTACTCACAAAAAACAGAAAAAAAATATTTATTCAGAAACACCCGTCTGTCAATAGAATTTGTCACGATCAACATGGCAGCGATTATCCAAATATATAAATCGAAGAATTCTTATACAGAGCTTATTAATTGCAAAGCATTTCACTAGAATACTGTAGAATATACGACAGATCCTCTCTTTCATTGATCTCCTCTCATTGATTAGTAGACATTTCGCTGAGCCTATGTCACCAAAAATCGATACGCATACTTAAATCACAGTTTTTAGAGGAGCGAATCAGCACAGACAGATTAGACAGATTACTATGGCAATGAAACAAATAACACAAACGTTGGGTCTATTATGATTGCTTTGGTACGTTGTATTTGGACTAATCGCGTTGACCCTGCACTAACCCTCCCAATCCCACTTTATATGGAATAGAGCCTTGGGAGCGTTACGGTGGTATAATATAAAGGTTTGGTGAAAGTGGCAATAGAAATCCCGGTCTACAGTGGCATTCCAAGCAGAATCCTTACAATCTTCACGATTAAACTTTTTGATACTGCATTTCGAGTGTGGGTCAAGAGGCGCCAATGTGGTCAAAAACTAGGTTATCGCGGTTAGCACGGCGACTTTGTCAATTTGTGTTAGAATTCTTCTCATTTCACAGATCAATGTATCTGGGATTCCTGTTGCTACTAGCCAAGATCGCCTCACATGGAACAGTTTCCATATGGTGGCCTTAACGGAGTCTCTTGACCAACAACTTCGTGCCCCTACCCACTGAACGTTCTCTCTTTCAACTTATAGCTCAGGTGTTATCAAAGCCACACCACACGTATCTCAGAAGATACAATTAACGAATACTGGCAAAATATAATGACTAGATGCTTTGGATATACTGGTACGCTGAAACAACATCCAATGTTAGTAAACACAATAAACAATCAACATCCCTACTTTAGGATATACTGATCAGATGATTTTTGATGCTGAGAATAGTGGCTCGATGTGCCGGCGATGCAATGCCCAGATTCTTCAGATCGTGATCGTTCAGAGTGAAGAATGACTAAATTACTGTTGTTACTCGATAGTGTCTCTTATCCGTCCAATTTTTGTCGAAGTAATCCCTTCTACGATGTTCGAGGAGTAGTCAATTTACCATCGGTAATATGGTGCTGGAGAATGAGGATTGACAGCTGAAGAGAAGCAAGGTATCACAGAAAGAGCCCGTTAGTACGTCTACCCCTCCCTCCTTTNACGGTGTTTTAAACTTATGGAACTGGAATCAATCTACAGTATACTATGAACTGAAACTTTCGCGTCGGTCGTAAGCGAAGGAAAACTTTTTAGTACTCCTCCTGTTCACCATGATGACCTGTTCATTTCTCATACCTATACCTTTTGCCTTCCCGTTGGATTCGACTCAACTGGGCTCTAACTTTGAATGTAACGTCATTGGTTTTGTATTCCTGTACGAGACTCTCAGCACTCACCTCAGCATCGATTTCCTCCTTCTGAAATACGTCAATGTACTGAGCCAAGTTGTGTTTGCGTAGTTCGCCCCATATTCGCTCTAGAATCGGGATGGTTTATATGGAACGACAAAGCCTGAGTTCAAGTCACAACTCCGATCTCTAAAACCACGGAAATCTTTCTCTAACACTCATGGTATCGCACCTTTGCTTCTGAGCCAAGGTTGCCTCGAGGATGTGGATATAACCCATTTGTACCACCTACACCACTTACTGCTAGCCCCTTATTGTCTACTCATTGTCAGTAAAAGCTTGCAAAAAAATGAATCAAAATGTGAGCAGTTTCAGGGTCTCTTCCTGATTCTGAGGGTGTGGTCTGAGGCAACTGGT